AATAACGAAAAACGAATTAAAGAAAGAAAAAGAAAAACGAATTCAAGAAAGAAAGAAAAAGAAAAACGAATTCAAGAAAGAAAGAAAAAGAAAAACGAATTCAAGAAAGAAAGAAAAAGAAATGAATTCAGAAAGAAAAAGGAAAACGAATTCAAGAATATACAAAATCAAAAATTAAAAAAAGAAAAGAAAAAAGGGGCCGGGGCACGAAACGACACTTCCTTGCAATCCGACGGCGGGCGCGTTCAGATATTGAATAGCGAAAACGAATTAAGGAAAGAAAAAGAAAAACGAATTCAAGAAAGAAAAAGAAAAACGAATTCAAGAATATACAAAATCAAAAATTAAACGCAATCCGACGGCGGGCGCGTTCAGATATTAATGCACATCGACGCCCGCCGTCTACCCGGCCCCGTAGGCGCGCTCTCTCGTTTAGTGGCGCGCTGTGAACAATTCGGTACGCGCGCCACTCTGCACAACGCCCCTCCCTCGATCGCCTTTATCCGCCGACCCGAATCAAAACTTCGGGCCGATTTCAGCGCGCAGCGAAACACGACCTTCCCCCGCAGGCCCACCGCGCTTAAGGGGTAGGATATATATATATATATATATATATATATATATATATATATATATATATATATTTTGACGTATTTTTAGGGGTATAAAAAAAATATTAAAGAAACAGGCCGCGGACAGGGCCTCATTGGCCGCGGCCACGGGTGTCACGTAGGTCACTACAAGTCCGGTGCGAAGAGGCAACACACTACCCACATGCTGATGCGGAAAACGACGCGTGCGACTACGTGTCATGACAAACCTCTCTCTCTCTCTCTCTCTCTCTCTCTCTCTCTCTCTCTCTCTCTCTCTCTCTCTCTCTCTCTCTCTCTCTCTCTCTCTACTGTCGAGCGTCGTCAGAGGCCACCCATCCTCTCGGCCAGTGCGTCCCTCAGATTTAGCGCATCTCCCGTCGAGCTCTCCATGCACACCGGCCTCAAGGGACGCTGGATTCCAAGATCCACACGACAGCGCACTCCGCTCACATCCAGCTCCCACAAGAGATTGTCATCAAACGGGATGCCCATGTCGATGAGCAGGTTGTGGAGAATGCACACAACCACAAACTGTTGCAGCAACATCTCCATGTTTGTCTTGTGCGACCGGAGGAACAACCTCCACATCCCCTTCAGTCTGTTGAAAGCCCTCTCAATTGCCCCCCTCACGGACTTCTGCTTATTGTCGAACCGCGTCTCTGACGGGTGACGAGTAGTGCTGTTGTAGGGAACGACTATCCATTCCGACGGTAGTAACCATTGTGGCCCAGCAGGTAGTCATTCATCTGGACGCCGAATGGCAGCATCACAGGCGGTCCCGTGAAAAGTTTGCCAGCCTCTGCACGCGCCCATAGACTAAACAGGTGAATGATCCTGACGTTGTGGCAGCTCCCAGGATAACTGGCAAAGACGTCCAACGCACGCAGGTCCAGATCGACGATGACCTGCGCGATGATCGAGAAACGTCGTTTCCGATCGTAGTAGTCCTTGCCAGGGGCATTTGTGGGCTTGTCGATATAGATATGCGTACAGTTGATGCAGCCATGATAGTTGGGGAACCCCTTGCCATCGAAAGCACGGAGGACGACCGACTTGCACACCCCCGCCGGCCATGGTATCTTGTCACGGTAGACCGTCAACAACGCCGCAGTGACGTCCCTCACCGCCACCAAACTTGACGCTCTATCGATGTCGAAGTTACACGTGTTGCTCTCGTACGTCGCCCCCGATGCCCACCTGTACAACGCGTACGCGACGATCTGATCTGGCTGCAACGGCTCCCTGTAGAATGTCACGCAGCGCTGCAGCAACGACGAGAGAGCTTCCGCAATCTCCCAGAAGACACGTGGCGACATGCGCAGCTTGTCCCGAAAGTAGTCCTCCGTCGCGTCGTCGCATTCCCGCAGATCCTCCCACGCACCACCCGTCCTCCTTTTCATCCACCATCTCGGCGTTGCTCTAGGAAGAGCTCCGCAACCCAAGGCGCAACACACGTGAATGACGGCATAGCAGATGGCGGCGGTGTCCAACACAGGGCCGTCCAGTGATGTGCACTGCGTAACCTTCCTCCTCCTCATGCGGATCTGCGCTTTCATTCTCCCCGCCGTCCTCTCCATCTGACAACGAAAGAGGACTGCAGTAACAACCGCTGCTACTGCCGTCCTCTCCGTCGTCGTCAACTTCCCACCGATGTAAAGGTCGTCGTCGTCCATCGCTCCCAAACGAGCCATGAGGTCGTATTCTCCCCCGACGTCTTCCTTGCCCGGCCGCACGCAGTACTCGCCCCGATGACTGCCGCGATGGCGTCTCCTCCCCCGACGACTGGCGTGACGGCAACTTCTCCCCTAATGACGGCCGATGGAATCTTCCCCTCTCCCCCCCCCCCCCCCCCTCAATGGCGTCTTCTCCACCGACGTCTTCCTTGCCTGGCCCCACTCAGCACCCACGCGGACCCCCCGGACGCGCTGTGGAAGGAGCCTCCTTTCCGACATCCTCCACCAGCCGCCGCAGCACCACGACGAACCGCCCTCACCCCAGCGACATCATTCAAAATTTGAATTTCGAACAGGGACGGCGTGCCTAGTTTTTTTTTTTTTTTTTGGTCGCTGCGAAGATTCAGATGTTTGCCGCCAATCGAAGCTGGACCACAGCCGTACCAGCGGACAACCAGCCATGGACCCCACCCCACCCCACGGTCGCCGATAAGATTATTAACTGGAGGACGACTGGCCGCGGGATCTCTATAGGAATCCTCCTCGGACGTCCATCCCGAGGATAAGTGGAATGACGACGGGAAAAATCTCGGAAGCCCGGAAGGAAAACTCCTTGGGCCCCGAGGACGCCCTGAGGAGCGTCTAACGAGCCCCAAAGAGAGAAAGAGAGAAAGAGGAAGAAGTGGTAAACAATATGAGGACGTCGTAAAAGAAGAAGTTCTTGAGTTCCCGAACCGGATGTGCTAGTAAAAAGAATACATCATGTGTAATGATCTCTCTTGTCAACTAGGCAACATGAATTACCTCATTTGCGAGGCCATAGGCTTGCAGGGGTCCCCTCTATATAGTCTTAGGAGTAGTGGTAGGAAGGTAGTGAAAGGGGAAAAACAAATTTGAGAGAAGAACATTAAAAAAAAAAAAAAAAAAGGAGAAAAGAGAAAAGAAAAAAGAATAAAAAAGATGATGGAGTCCTCTTTTTTTTTTAAAAAAAGGAAAAAAAGCAGATGCTGTAGATGAAAAGCTTGGATGAAGCAGCATGTGCATTTGGCGTGCGACACGACATGTTTCTTTTGGGGGGAAACTACGCGGGAGTCACTGAAATGAGTTATAATTGCAGTATGGGCTAACATTAAGTTTCAAATCGCAGTTTGGGCAATGTATACAACCCAGCTTTCTGGCCAGGTAGGGTGCCCAAAGTGCAATTGCAAACTGTATCTTGCCCCAAAGTGCAATTATAACTTGTTTTTGTGACTCTACTGAAGTGACGTTTTCTTTTTTTTTTTTCTTTTTTTTTTTCTTTTTTTTTTCAATGATCTGTATAATAAAATCAATATAATTTATTAATTTCTCACAATCAGAGAGAGAAAATTTGAATTTGTGCATAGAAGACCGAAAGACCTGCGTTGCCTCACTGTGTCTCACTACTCTCCAAACGTGAAAGGCACACTAAAGCGCATGCATGTCCACATTTCTTCTTGCATTCTTGAAGTCGTATCTTCCGCTGCTGAGAGTCCATGCCCCATTTTTTCTGCTTTCCCAAAACGGGCAGGTGTAGCCAGCCCCTTCTTACCCCTCGCCAACCACAACTCCAACTTTTCATTACCCCTGGATAGACATTCCTCCCATGACTTCCAAACTGTTTCTCGCACCTTTTTGACAACTAGATAGCAATCTCCAAGTGAGCTCCACCGATCCCAACTCAGAGGACGTTGTGGGGAAACCCGGGGAGGTGGACGCCTGCCGCTCGCCGAAGCCAAGGGCAACAACGTCTGTCACCCGCTGCGCCCGCTTCGGAGGTCCTCAGCGATCGACAGGGAGTGGGATTCAAACTTGCCTATCAAATTCCCACTCGAAGACTGAGCTCTGAGATCTTTTGCAATCGGACCGATAATGATGATAATAAAATAAAATAAAAAAAATAATAATAAAGTAATAATAACAATAATTATTATACTCCCTCCTATTCCCGTGTCTCTGTACTGCAAACACTAGAAGTGGTTCGAGGACACTATGCCATCCGATTCAAGCTCTAGAGTAGAAACCACTTTCGCTATTCAGCCGCATTGAAGCGACCAAATAGTAGGGCGTCAACAGTTGTTCGAAGATCCCGACGGTCAATATGTCTATCTTGATGTAACCCTGCTGATGAACARCTAATRCSTGATCTGTCAATAATCAGCCAGTGCATGTTCTGCTAATGAGCAGTCAGTGCCTCATCGGCCAATGAGCGACACATAACTGGTCGGTTAATGAGGAATGAGTGTTTGATCCGCTGATGAGCAGCAAATGCTTGATCTGCCAATCAGCAGCCCGTGCTTGATCTGTCAACGAGGAGTGAGTGTTTGATCTACCGTTGAGCAGCCAAATCCTGATCTGCCAGTAAGCAGCCCGTGCTTGATCTGTCAAT